CACACACACACACACATACACACACACACACACACACACACACACACATACACACACACACACACACGCACACACACATACACACACACACACACACACACACACACACACACACACACACATACACACACACACACACACACACACACACACACACACACACACACACACACACACACACACACACACACACACACACACACACACACACATACACACACACATACACACACACACACACACACACACATCACACACACACACACACACACACACACACATCACACATACACATTAACCTGCTAAAATACATAACCGGACATAGTAAAATCCAGGTGAACCAGGTGAGAAAAGCACCATCAGAGGAGCCGTCTGCATCAGGAGCAGAGACACGTCCACCACCACCAGGAGCCGCCACAGGAGCCAGGGGAGAGATGAAGCCCAAACACCAACCCTCCACCAGGAGCCCACACAGACCCGACAGCCACAGCCGACCTCCGCTCCCGATGCAGACGCTCCTACAGACGAAACACTGCATATCCTAAAAATAAGCCTAAAATAAATAAATATAATTAAAATGTGTACAGTAGAAACAAGTAAAAAATATGATATTTCATTCAAAAGCTAAGCTAAAAAGGTGGGTCTTGAGCCTGCTCTTTAAAACAAGAACGTTCTCTTTGGCCCTGAGCTCCTCCGGCTGCAGGTCCATGGACGGGGGCTGTAGAACTGAAAAGACGCTCCTCTCCGTGAGTGTGTGTCCTGACTTTGGGAATGACCAGGAGCTGCTGTCGGAGGAGCTCAGGGTCTGAAAGATAAGAAGGCCCAAGAGCATTAAGACATTTACAAACCAGTAAAAGAACTTTAAAATCAATCATCCTTTAGTCTTCTGACGCATTGAGCAAACACATTGTACCATTAGAACACTGGAGTGACAGTTGCTGGAAATGGGCTTCTGTACACCTACTGTATGTAGATATTGCATCAAAAAACAGACATTTGCAACTAGAACAGTGATTTACCACATTAGCGATGTGTAGAGTGTATTTCTGATTAGTTTAAAGTTATCTTCATTGAAAAAAACAGTGCTTTTCTTTCAAAAATAAGGACATTTCTAAGGCTACGTTCAGACTGCAGGGCTTAACGCTCAATTCCGATTTTTTTGTGAAATCCGATGTTTTTTCGAGGTCGTTCACATTTCCAATTAAATGTGACTTGTATTCGATCCCCTGTGTGAACATTAAACGGCCCGAAAGTGTCCCACATGTGACACTGGAGACACGACGACGTCAACCGCAGCGAGCGTCTCTGTGTTTACAGAAGTTGTCCAAACATGGACGCAGCATCGAGCACCTGGAGATTTTAAAGTTCCTCTCGTACCGGAGCCAGAACATGAACAACTTACTTGTTTTAAGGAGGAGATTGAGAAGGAGAAGGACGAGGTTTTTGGTCGTGGTGTTTTGTGGTTCAGTCTGTTGAAAGGAACATGTGGATGTGGAGATGGAGCCAAGAGTGGTGAGTGGAGATGTGCTTCACTTCAGTCACATGGAGTTCATTAACAATTTTCTGCTACTTCAGCGCAGAATAGTGACGTTTGTGTCTTGTTGATAACGTGTAGGTGGATGAATGCACTTTGACCGTTCACACTGAAGTCACATGTCAAAAGATCAGATATGTATCAGTTTCAGGAGCACATATCCAAGTGTCCTGGGTCACATTTGAAAAAATCAGATCTGTGTGGTTCAGACTGACATTAAAAGATCAGATACAGGAACATAGGGGCCAAAAAATCGGATTTGGGTCACTTCAGGCTGCAGTCTGAACGCAGCCTAAGTGACCCCAAACTTTTCAGAGCGTTGTACTTCATGTCATCTTCAAAACTAAACACTTTTCAAAAATGTTTAGTTTTTAGGTTACAGATTCTGCCGTGAAAATTCCACGGTGCAGCTTTTCCTTTTTAACTGGAACTTTGCGCTTCCTGTTTCTTGTGTATTTCGAAAAACGGAACTGGACGCAGAAATAGAATTAGTGAGAATCCGCGTGAAGAAGAAGAAGTGGAGAAGCGGTGAGGTCATTAAACGTCACAACAGTCGTCCCGGTCGTCCCGGTCCGGTGTGAGCGGCGGCGGAGCAGCCCGAGGCACTGCTCCGTCTGTCTGTCCCGCGGCCTCGTCGTCTCTCGCTCGAATCGACGACCATTTTCACAGAAACGGAGGCGGAGAGAAGCGGTTCTATTGTGTCATTACCGCCGCTGAAGCCCACGGACGCTCAGACCGCTCCACTCGCCGCACAAAAGACCGAGGAGAGGAGACCACGGGGCGTCAATCAGCTCAGAAACACACTCACACACACACAAACGCACTTTCACACACTCAGATGAACACTCACACAATATGATTTTCTTTTCCAGGAAACTCTCAGCAATCACACGTTCACGGGAGCCAGACTGATGAACAATTAGATCTGTTGCCATAGAAACAAAAGAAAATGTTATATTTTTTTTATTCTAATTAATATAATGACTGTTGATTGTGAGTTTATTTTACTGATTTACTGTACAAAAAAAAAAAGATGTTCTTGATGATGTTTTTGCAGATTTAAATCCAGGGCTTTGCTGTTCTAAACCAGGACCAACTAAATAACTCGAACTGACTGAAAAATGTGTAAAATCGGGTTGAATATTTTTATTTTTTATTTGTTTAGCTGCGTCTGACTGAAAGGGTTTAATTCTGCTCTCTTCTCTCTCATTTTTCTCACTTATGTGTCTGTCGATTTTTAAAATTTTATGATGATTATTTACATTTTAATGTATTTCTTATTCTGTAAAGCACTTTGTGTACGACTTGTGCTGCACAAATAAACCTGCTTTGGCTCGACACTGCGCTGTCTGACGCTCTTAAATTCCTCAAGTTAGACTTTAAATCTGAGGTTTTTTTTTTGTCTGACCATAAAGAGCTGATTTATTTGGACGACAACAGGTGATCATGTAGAACACCCCCAGCCCGATGTCACTGTAAAGCAGGGGTGTCAAACATACGGCCCAGGGGCCAGATCCGGCCCTCCAAGACCTTTAATCTGGCCCTTTTTAGTAGAAAAAATATTTTCTACTAAAATATTTTAATTATATTTTCTATTCAAATATTGATAATTTTCTGTGGTGTTTATCACAGCAGCGTCTCCAGCGTCTCTGTACGTGGCCCCTCCCACCAGAGCAGCACAAATGAAGACTTGTCTCTTTCCAAACGCTCTTAAAGGACGATCGTTTTGACTGTTGACCGTGACACCCTCATCAGAAAAATGTCCAACATGAGAAAAGTGGAGCCGAGTGCAGGATTTTACAACAAAAATTGACTTATTCTATTTGCACAATTTAAAGTTAAAACATTGTGTTGAAATTGTATTTTTCTTAAAGTTTCAGGTTGTTCATAATATTATAATATTTTGTAAAAGAAAGAGTTCATCAATTAAAAAAGATTTCTGTAATAGATTTGTGTTTCTCTGCACAAATATTTTTAACTTATTGTTATTTTGGGGGTTTATATGACATGAGTTTTCTGATCCGGACACTTTGGGATCAAAGTAGGTTGGATACGACCCCGGATCAAAATGAGTTTGACAGCAGGCTGTCAAAGTATAATTTTAATAGTGTCTGTAATAGTATATATATATATAATAATTATATGTATAGTATATATATATATATATATATATATTATATATTATATAATAGTATATATATATCAATATATATATAATGTTATATATATATATATATATGTGTGTATATATATATAATATATATATATATATATATATGTGTGTGTATATATATATATATATATTATATATCTTGAGATCATCTGGCAACTCCCAGCTCCAGAACCACGATTTTAAAAGTCTTATATGCACAAACTGACTCTTGTGAGCTTTAAGTCGTGTTATATTGTTGTTTCCTCCTCAAAAACAACCCAGAACCTTCTGGCTGTGAGGCATGAATGCTAGACTCTCAGCCTTTCTCCTGGTATGTTTTACATTTATAGTTTTTCTCTTTGTTATTATGTTATATTGTGATGTGTGAACTCCTGTGTCCAAGTTATTTCCCTTGTGGATCAATAAAATTGTCTAACTTCTAAGGCCCTGTCCACACTAATTTGTATTCAAGTCATTTTCATTGTGGGTGCAGTGTTCGTTCACACTAATCCGATGGAAAACGGTTCCAGAGACGGAACGATCTGGTGCCTCCAGCTCCCACGAATTCATGTTTGATCTGATCCAGCACCGTGTGGACGCCTGAAAACACTGATACTCTGATGTACGTTTATGCGCCGCGAAGTCATTCACCGCCAAAACACTCAGAGGCGAGAATATCTGTCCATTCATATGTCCGTGTGTCTGTGTGTACGACCTGCAGACGTATAATCTCTGAGAAGTTTCACATGAACCATCTCCAACACGACAGAAACACAGAACAGACTCACCATCAGCAGAACACCCCTCTGTCACAGAAACAACACTCATATTCCACTGAAGCTGAACCGCATCAGCGCACAGGAGCGAGCCGTTTTTTGGAGCTCAGGTCGTGCAAATGAGTCATGTGGTTTTAAGTTTCATTTCTGCAAAATGTAAACAACTGTGATCAAAGTTGTGCGGACACGTGTCTGGAAGCGATTCGTTTCAGTGTAAACGTAGTCTAAGTCTCAAGCTCCTTTTACATTTTATTCAGCAGATTCAGGGCTGAAATGATCCAATTGAAGTGAAAAAACGAAGTGAAAAAAGCACTTCCTGTTTTAACACATAACATCACAAAGCGAGTGTTTTCAGTTTGAGAGAAAAACTGACAAAATCTGCAGCATTTGTAAATTAAATACGTGAATGAAACATCTTGTTTGTGATGAGGAAACATTAGAACACGGATCTGATAAAAGCGTAATATTCGCCGTTTAAACTCCACCGACATCAGACTGAAACAAGACAAGACCCAAAAAAAATGACATCCACGAAGAGTTGCATCAAACAAATATATCACATTTATTTTGAAAGTATAAAATTTGACACAATAAAGGCCACTTATCGGGTAAACTGACAACCTTTAAGAAGTGTCTGTTCCTCCACTGGTCTATGAAAAAAACTTCCCAAGTCCGTGTGCCCAAACCCCGGGTCACCCCAACGGCAAAAACAAAAAGACTCCACCACGAAACACAGTTGGCAAGATGGCAATAAGTTAATTACAGGAGAACGGCAGGAGGAACGCCAGACTTCACGATGAGTCCGTAGATCCCGCCGCCGCCGAGGAGCCGGAGCGAGAACCGCCGGCTCCCAGAGAAGCTTCGTACAGGCACAGGATGACGAAACAGGCACTGCTCGCCCCTACCACAGACGCGGACATTCGCCAGCCTCGAACCCGCGCGCGCACGCCCTCGCCGGCCCGCGGAGCCGGCTGGTCCACGGCCGGACGCTCGAGCTTGCTGAGGTAGAACAGTTATACCTAAAGACTTTTCTCTGAACATAGATTAGTAACAGTCACATAACGGAGAGAGAGTGGAGTCGTAAAGGGGAGAAAGAACGTCACATTTTAAGAAGTTTTCACGGTCGCGGTTTGTCGACGCGAGAGCGGAGCTGCACAAAACGGAATTAACGAAGAAAACGAAGAGGAATCGGAGTTTAGACTCGTCCGACGTGTTCGGAAGTTCGTGGGATTCTCGTGTTAGTTTCTCAGTTTCATCTCGAATTTACAACGCACAGAATTCTCCTTTTTTTTTTTTTTTTTAACGTATTGATATTTTGCAGCTGACGTCGTTGACATTCTCTGGGGGTGTGGCGCTAACTGTAGGCACTGCTCCGTCTGAGGCTTTGTTAGACTGAAATCAGAGCTTTGTTTCTTTGTTTTAACGCAGAAACCGACCAGAAAAAGAGGATTTTTATACAATCAAGATCGTTATATCTAAAAAAAAAGATCTAGAGAAACAACGAGAAAGAGAGAGAAAATGAGAAAAGGGGAATGGAGGGATGCAAAGAGAAAGGAGGATGGAGAGGCAGAAAAAAAAAGGAGAAAAGGAAAGAGACACAGGGAGTGAGATGGAGAGAGAGAACGAGAATATAAGATCTTTATATTAAAAAAAAAAGAGAAACAATGACAGAGAGAGAGAAAATGAGAATGAGAGAAAGGTTGAAATGGAAAGAACACAAATGGAAAAGCAGGGGAAGAGAGGAAAGTAGAGAAAGGGATGCAAAGAGAGAAGAGAGAGGAAAAGAAACAGAGGGAGTCAAGTCCCTCTCGAACAACATTAGTCACAGTTTTTTTTCGCTCTTACGCTTTTGTTGAGAATTAAACTCTTAATCCATTTTGAGTTTTCAGACGATCTTCAAACCTTTTCGGCTAAAGTGGCATCGTGTCCACAGAACTACAACAAAATCTGCAGCTGAACTCAAGATGGCGTAGTGTTGTTTTCAGTGAACTGCGCTCACGGACCCAAAAATAAAAGTGTTTTGACCCATCGGTTCTATTCACGCTTGCGTCACAAACCAGGAAGACGTTTGGAAACTTGCGATGGCAACTTCCGGTGTAGTTCCCGACCGACTACGATCAAACCCGCTGGAGTAAATGTGATCAGCGGTAAAATGAAGACCGCAGACGTATGTGCTGTTTGGAATCATCTCGTCTCTTCTAATCGCATGAACCCAGTGTGTGTCAGTGGGGAAATGATGAAAAAAAATGAGGTATGGTTGTAATTGTTGATTCTCCGAACATAATGGAACGATACAATGACACGGAGATGAAAAAAACTAGGATATTTTCTCATTTTTCACAGATTTTGTCAGACTGCACGGCGTGGAGCGTTAGGCTCGATTCACGCTTACATCATAAACTAGAAGTGTGCAAAAATATTGAAATATCGATAAATCGTTTAATGTGATGATATCGTGGGCTGCTGTATGGATACATCACCAAAAGTATTTTTTGGTGTATTTTACTCAATTATTTTGTTACAGAGCTGCAGTTTTGTTGTTTGTTTAGAAGGAGAAAACTATTTTATGTGACACATTTGACATTTTCACTATTTTGAGGATTAACTTTGCACAAGAAGTGGTTTAACAAAGATTTCTACTGTCACAGCCACGATTTAGCCTTTATTTTTACTGAACTGTATCGAATCGATTGTAAATATATCGTATCGAATCGAAAGCTCACTGTATCGAGGTATGTATCGTATCGACAACTGCGTAATGATCTCCAGCTCTATCATAAACCAAGAAGACATTTGGAAACATGCGATGACAACTTCATACCATGGATTTGTTAAAATAATTGATTAGTGTCTTTCTGTTTGTATTTGTCTTGAGTTGGACGGTGGACTCTCTCACTGGAGCTCGTGTTCGGCTGACAGGACACCTACAACTTTCAAAAACTGTCAGATTTTGCAGCGATTTTTACGTATTTTTCAATCATGAACTTTGTCTCAGCTCAAAATCCTTCAGTTGACTTAAAAAAATAACTTGGGCTTGGCCGTTCCTGACACTGGGCTGATGTGGAGATGAAGAAAACTTTGATATTTTCCAATTTTTTGTAGATTTTGTCAGACTTTCTACCGCAACCAGAGCCCAAAAGGAAGTCGTCGTCGCATGTTCCCAAACGTCTTCTTGGTTCGTGATGTAAGCGTGAATAGAACCGACCAGAGCCAGAGCGAGAAAGTCTTACCAAGATCACTTTTAGGAGTATTTTTAAAAAGTTTATGTCGTGAAAACAGACAAGAATCCTACAAACTCCGAGGGTTGTGAAAGCCGGATGCCTTGGGTGACCAGATTTCAACTGGGACGCTCTCGGTTTGTGGCGGTTGGTGATAAATCAATTGTGAAACGAGTGTGTAATTAAGGAGAATTTTTCTGCACTCGGCTCATTCGTGACTTATTCCAAACGAACACGAGTCAGTATAGTCAGATTTTGTTTGGGTTTTGGTCGTTTTTAAGCAGCTTTTCTGTAATTTTCACAACTAAATGTCAGTTTATGCGTCTCTTTACTGTTTTCAGGGGTCAAAAATAGAGACACTTGGGACATTTCTTGTATAAAACTGAGACAAATTGATGGTTTTGCAGGGACAGAGGTATTGGAAGATAATTTGTCAGATTTTGAATTTTAAATACCGCTGAATTTTATCACTTTGCAATTATTTTCATTCTGAATTTTAGTTGTTGAAATTTTCAGTATACTTTTTCATCCATCCATATTTCAAATTCACAATAAAAATTTCACATTTTAAGTATTCAGCACAGATATTTTCAAGCCCTCAAATTCAAATGTTATAATTCAGAGTGTAAAATTCGCACTGAAAAATTTCACAACAAATATCCAATACGCCAAGGCAGAAGCAATCGATCATATGTGATTGAGAAGGACAGAGGTTATTTCCTATTGGCCGTTCTCATCTGTGGGCGGGGTTTACACTTAAATAAATAAAAGAGATGAGGTTTTGATGAGGCTAATTCTGACCAATCAAACTGGTTCACTGCACCATTTCCCGCATGTTACTAAATTGGATTGGATCACTTTGGATCGATTGCTTCGACCTTGGCATCTTGGATCTTTCCTGCGAATTTTTATATTCTAAAATTCAAAATAAAACTTTCACCTTTTAAATATTCAGCACAAATATATTCAAGCCCTCGTATTTAACAGTCAAAATCCAAACACTCTGAAAATGTACACTTAAAATTTCAGCAACTAAAATTCAGAATAAAATTAATTCAAAAATGTGTTTTTCAGAATGAATACATTCAAAGGGAGAAATTCAACGGCATTTAAAATTCAAAATCTGATGAAACAAATTATCTTCCATACAGGGGACACAAGACTCAAAACTAGGACTGTCCCGGGTAAATAGGAACATCTAGATTCCCAAAAAATGTTTTGCGCTCTTTGGGAGAATTCGTTTTGCGTCTAAGCTCCCGGGAGTTGCAGTACCTGGAGTGGCCACTAGAGGCAGAGGAGGAGTGGCTTATCCAGTTTTTATTATAAATCCGTTGTTTCTGTCACTACAGTAACTGCAAAAACATTCCGCCAGAGACACGAGCTACACGTAGGACACCCCCAGCGTGACGTCACTGCAAATTTATCAATTACGAAGCGTCATTTTTTAAATCCGATTGTGCAGCTCGACTCCAGGATCCGACACCATCCCTTCAAACTCACAGAAGTTTTCCCTTTGAGCGGGTCCGAGCCTCGCACCTCGCATTTCTGTTTCCGGGTTAAAACGCACGAACCCGGCGACCGCTGCCTTTTCACACGCGCTACTCCAGAGTGCAAACAAAAATACAGACAGGTGCACAGCAGAGGGCGGAAGCAGACGGGGGGGGGGGGGCAAAAACCGACGGAGCGCAGCTTTTCTCTTCGTTCGGAAAACCCAAGTTCGTTTTAAAAAGTCTGTGAACTCCTCGGTCGTCGGCGTGCGTTCTTGCGTTTTCGCCCCGCTCGCCGGCGCCCCCCCTCAGGCTGGAATGACGAAACTGAGTGGTCCGGACGGGATCACGATAGGCCTGTCACGAGAATCACCACGGCGACCACAGACTGAGTAGAGAAGCGGACAGACGGAGTGTGACGTCAACCGCGGCGTTCGGCTCCAGTCAAATGAAGCTCATCGAGGCCGGAGAATCCATGTACCGTTCATTCGCTTTTCAAAATAAAAGCAAAATTAAGAAAACAAAAGAACAGCTATTTTCTTTATTATTTGTCTCCAAAACCAAAATGAAAAGAAGGGTAATCGTTTTTCAGTTTTCGATTTTGTGTTTCCCGTTTCATCTAATTCTGACTCTTACGGACTGAACCAGGACTAAACCAGGTCTAAACGAGGACCGATCCCAGGACTGAATCAGGAGGACTAAACCCGGACTGAACTAGAACTAAAACAGAACTAAACCAGAACTGAACCAGGACTGAGTGTCGGGACAGGCCCAGAGGTGTGTTCCTGGTTTAGACCTGGTTTAGTCCCAGTTTAGACCTGGTTTAGACCTGGTTTAGACCTGGTTCAGTCCTGGTTTACTCCCGCATTGCAGTTTAAGTCGCGGAAACAAAATCGAACTCTGAAAAACAAATCTTTATCTGTTTTTTCATTTTGGTTTTGGAGACAAATAATGAAGAAAATTGTTGTTCTTTTCTTTTTCTTATTTTTGGTTTTATTTTGAAAACGAATGAACAAATGACACACAGATTCTAGCTGTAGTTATAGGAGCAAATTTGGAGCTCTGTATTAGGAATCAGAGTTGATTTATGGACAAAATTGTGAAATAAAACCCAAACTTTTCTGTTGAGGCTCCTTCACAATTTTGTTTCTCTGGATACATCATTTCTCTGCTTGGAAAGTCCCACAGCAGAGAAAAACACAAATATTCGGCCAAACAGTGGTGACGTTTGGACATGTCAGCCAAAAAAATGTTAAAATATTGATTGTATTACATCAATTAAATCATAATTTTGTTTTTTTGGGATCTAAAATTATCTCAAACTTGATATAAATATGAGTATTAAATCAGATTTTGAGTTATTTTCAGTTTTTCTAGGCCTTTTGTTTTTGATCTGCTGGCCTTGGTGTTAAAGCTGCATTGTGTAACTTTTCGTTTGGAGGTCCGTCACCTTCTTGTTGCTATGGATATGTCACTGCTCTGCTTGGAATGTCCCACAGTGTGACTTTAAACAGCTCTACTTTACATTTATTCAATCACAGGTGGGTTTATAGCTTAAAAATACCTAGAAAAACAAACATTCTGGCTGTGAACGGGGTCGCCTCTCCACAGATCTGACCTGTAACTCTGTCTGGTTTGGTCTCCGTGAAGACAGGAAGGTTTAATGCCATACTGTGAGACATTCCACGGAGAAAAGCGTTTGACAGAACCTCCGAAAGAGAAGTTAAACAAGAGAAATGCGACGTTTTTTTCCGGTTTTGTTTCGTTTTTGGAGCCAGAGTCGATGGAGCCGGAAGCGCGCCCACGCTCACTTCCTGCTCGGAACGCGGCGGCTTTGTCCGTTTCTATAAACAGTCTGCGATGACGCTTTAAAATCTGTTTTCGTGACAGGCCTGGACCGCGGAGAACCTGGACTACGAGGAGGAGCTGTCCATTCTGTGCGTGATGAGGCTCTCCGTGGACTTCAGGAGCTTTTCCAAACACGGGGCGCGGATCTTCCCCGGCGGGGGGGGGCCCCGGGGCCTGGGCTCAGTCTTAGTGAGGGAGTCCGTGCTGGAGGAGACCGCGCTGTCCTGGGTGAGGTCCCGGTCTTTGGGCTGGCTCTGCTCGGCGCTGGGGGAGCAGATGGGGGACGTGTGGAGCCACTTGACGTTGGAGGCGGAGTAGGCCCCGGGGGGAGTCAGGTCCGTCACGCGCAGAGGCTTGGGCCCCGGCTCGGGCTCCGTGTACGTGAAGGGGCCCACGGGCTGAGAGGAGCACAGCTGTGAACGAGAAAAAATATCTGGTCAATAAATGTTTTGTACAGAGATTTATTCAGTTAAAGGTCTTATATTACACAAAACTAACTGTGAGTGAGGTTTAAGTCGTGTTATAAAGTCGTTCACTCCTCAAAAACAGACCTGGACTTGTGTTTTGTTTCATTCACATGTTTGACTACCATATTTTCTGCACTATAGAGCGCACTTAAATTAATTTAATCAAAAAAATGACTGCGTGCCTTATAATCCAGACACCTTATATTCAGTGTTGGGGAGTAACAGATTACATGTACCGGAGTTATGTAATCAGAGTACAAATTATGAGTAACTGTATTCAGTTACAGTTACTGTTTCCATGAGTGGTAACTGGATTACAGTTACTTTGTTGAAATAAATGGATTACACGGCGGTATTTTCCTGTTTTCACATTTTGGGTTATATCCCCCTTTTTTTTTTACCAAGTCTAAACCAGGACTAATTCAGGATTGAACCAGGACTGAATACAGGTCTAAACCAGGACTAAGCCAGGACTAAAACTAGGTCTAAGCTAGAACTGAATTTTGAACTAGTTCATGCAGAAAATTGAACTTTCCCAACACTGACAGGAACTCTGACGAAATCTGGGAAAACTGAGAAACTGGCCCAGTTTTCATCATCTCGATGTCATTGTGTTCTTTCTTTTTTCCTTTTATAAAAACATTTGTTTGTTATAATTTGTCTAATGTAATAAAAAAAGACGTCATTGTGGTGTTCTGTTATGTTTGGCAGATCAACAGTTCCATCCAGTCGTCTGTGAGTGACATGAAGCTGAGATTCGAGTCTCGTCCCTCGTGAAAAGCTTTGGCAGGTCGTGAAGACGCTGCTGCTGAGTCCACGGTTTTATCACACGCCCAGTGTCGGGAAATACACCAAAAAGTCGTCATCCTCATGTTTCCAAACGTCTTCTGGAAGCCTGAATAAAGCCTGAGTGAGTCTACATCTCCAAACCTTATGATGTCATGAAGTGATAGTTTTCATGTTAGCAGCTCTGTTTTTACCTTTTTATCATCTTACTTATACAAAATAAAAAAAGAGGTCATAACTTATTTTCTATTTTATTTTGATTTGTACATATACAGTATATTTTTATATAATTATGTCTTATTTGACTCCAGCCTTTCTATTGTGATCTTTATTGCTACTAATTTAGACCTTTTATATTTTTTACTCTTTGTTATTATATTATAATGTATATATTGTATATATATTGTAAAGTGTGAGCTCCTGTGTCCAAATAATTTCTCAAAGTTTATCTATCATGTCTGACACATGTCAAACTCAGGCTCGGGGCCAAATTTGGCCCATGATATAATTATATTTGGCTCACGAGATCATATTAAATATGTAGATAAAATAGACAATAATAGATAAAATATAAACCATTATTAATTTATTTGTGCACAAAACTGGGCATTAGTATGGTACATTTACAAAGGTAATTAATCAAATTTGACTTATTCAGCACAATATATATCATTCAGAAATACGTTGGCTCCTGAGCTACAGGCTGGAGACCCCTGGACTATAGAGACATTATTTATTTAAAATGTTGTTATTATTTTATATTACGCTTGTTCTGGTTTCAATGTTTAAGCAAAACTATTATTAAACATTTATTTGAATAAGAAAAGGCTGAACATTACATATCTCGAAAAAAGAGAAAACCTGCAGATGCTAAAATTTTTCAATAAATATTTAGTTGGGCCCACGACTTAGTCACAGTTTTTAATTTTGGCCTCTGTGAAGTTGCGTTTGACTCTCCTGATCTGCATCTTCACCTTTCATTCAGTCGAGATTTGGCAATTCCAGACCTAAAAATCATCCAAACGATTCTCGTGAAAGTGTGTGGAGTTTAAAAACACAGTCAAGCTCTTCCTTTCTCTGTTACATGATGACATCACAAGGTGGAGCAGAGTGTTTTCAGTTTGAGAGAAGAACTCTAAAGCCTAAATGTGCAGGTTTGTGTGTTAAAAATGTGTAAATGAAAGAAAAAAACACAACTGTAGGTCTGTTTGTGTCGAGGAAACTACATTTCATTTATTTTATTTTATTTATTTTTTAAATGTATTTTATTATTTAATTTTATTTATTTATTTTATTTATTATTATTTTTTTATTTTATTTTACTAGTTTTATTGTCTTAAATAGCACTTTATTTTATATTTTTATTGCATGTTTTATCTGTTTTGTGCAGCACTGTTTTGTTTCTGAAACGTGCTGTACACGGGCCCTTTAAACACATTTCTTCACGAATTTACCCCGAATTATTCAGCCGATCTTTAATGGAAAGTTGCGCGTGTGCGATTGCGCCGCTGAAAGCCGCGCACAGATAAGCTGCAGAAATAATGCCACATTAATTAAAAGTCTGTTCCAGAGTGTTCTGACCTTTAGGCCCCGAGGAAACTGGCTCAGAGTGACATTTTCTACAGATCCATTGTCCCCTGAACCCTACACCACAAAATACCTCGGTAAGAATAGGCCGTAATCCTGTTTCCCCCCACAGGCTGATAATAATACTCTATACAATCAGAATCTGTACAATAAAAGTCTATAGAATCATGGGCGTTTCACTGCAGGTGGAGGAAAACAAAACACGAGTAAAAGCTGTAAAGGAAAACTACTTCACTTCTACTGCAGTGTGGAGGGTCAAATGTTTTTCTCCATGGAGATGAAAAGCTTTCAGAAATATCCGTGTGCATATTTGTCTGTAGTTGAGCATAAAATAAATATTCGTAAACTCTCGAATGAGTCCAGTCGTTCATAAAAAATGTGTTGCGGGAATTTTATCCATCAGAAAACGAACTGAAAAGTTACGACGTCAAGAATTACAATCACCAAATGAAACTTTATGATGACGCTTGCTTCTGTACAAATATGAATTCACAGACACGACTTGACAGTTAAAAATACGTCATCACTTCAAAAGCAGAAGAAATATCAATCGAGATGCCGGAGTTTTGTGCCGTAAAGTCCTAGTTCAGTCCTGGTTCAGTCTGTATCAAAACTTGATGCCGTTAAACCCCAGGATTATACTGCAGTAAACAGTGTTACTAGTCAGGCTGGTTCCATCTAGTGCCTCCGCTCAATGTCATTTCTCTCCAGCGACTAGGTCAGGAATCAGAATACACTAGACCAGGCAGGTCCAAACTATGGCCCGTGGGCCAAATGCGGCCCTCAGACAAATTTTTCTTGGCCCTCAGACTTCGAGGTGAATTGGCCCAAATTACCTTGCATCAATTAAAAATTAACTTTTTACTGCACGTTTTTTGAAAATCTACCTTGATAAAGCTCATATTTAATATTTAGTGTGAGGTTTTTAAGGATTTTAGCGTGAATAAAAACTGATGGCTCATTCTAACATGTTAAACATGCACATATTTCAATTATTGACTTTATTGAGCATCAGTCTGTGGCCCTCGATCAGCCTCTGCTTCTTCTGTGTTTACATATGTGGCCCTTGATGAAAACAGTTTGGACACTCCTGCACTAGACAGTTTGCAAAAACTCCCGAAGAGTGAGTCCAGCCACCAGTCAGGCAAAGAAGAGACAGACATTCTGTATTGGCAACGATTCCCAAGATCGAGGATTTAAAAACAAAGAGAATGTTTGGTGAATTTTATCAAGGGGAAAAACGTTATTGATCTTCCTACAGGATTTGGTGCATTACAAACGTCATGACCAAACAGCAGCGATTAGTTAAATAAGACAAGTACCCGCCTACTGTCGAGTGAAAACATCCTGATGCTGCGAGGTCACACGGTTTCTATCAAGTGAAACCAGCTGATAAATGAGGCTACGGTATTACCATATTACCAAAACGTGTGCGTGTGTGTGTGTGTGTGTGTGTGTGCGTGTGTGTGTGTGTGTGCGTGTGTGCGTGTGTGTGTACCTTCGTCTTCTTGGAGGGCACAGGCTCGTCCGTCTCGGCGGGGGGAGGCTGTTGTGGAAGTTTGACTTGAGGAAACCAGCTCTTCAGCATCTCCTCCATTTTCAGAATAATGTTTATGTATTTATCCCTGAAATGAAAAAACAAAAGAGAGAGAAGAATCATGATACTGTGACAACAAACGAGCAGATGATCAGACAGAGTGTGTGTGCTGCTGCTGCTGTGGAGCGGGCGTGTCCGTGTTCACATGTTTGGGTCTCGCACGTGTTCTCTGTGAAAAGGCCCCAGCGTCAGAGAAAACAAAGCTCCGGTGACGCAGGAATGAAGGGGGGCGGGGCCAAACTCACATTAACTCACGAGCAGCGCCAGACGGAAACCGGAGATTACAGAATCATGTGATCGCAAGTCAAACTGTGAGAAAAGTGTGAGGAGATTATCCACGACTCACTTTGATCTATGTTTGACCACAGAGAGGAGGGGCCCCAGCTGCTGCACACAGAGACAGAGGAGCCCGGAGCCCGGAGCCCGGACCCCGGAGCCCGGACGACAGCAGAGGCTTCTCTTGAGAGGCTCCTGTTCGGGCCCCTGGGAGGACACGCCCCCTCTGCCTCTGCTCCAGCAGCTGTGGCTCATGGCTCCAATTAGTCTGGAGTGAGGCAGCACTTATCTACACCACACACATCAAGTACTGCCGGAGAGGACACACACGCACACGGACACACACGCGCATGCACACGCGCACACACACACACACCCACAGACAAACACACACACCCGCGCGCACACACGCACACACACACACCCCCAGTACTACTGGAGAGGACACACACTTATACATACGCACACACACACACATTCAGTACTGCCTCAATGGACACACACACGGACACAGGACACACAAAGCCAGTACTGCTTCACAGGACAGAGATACATCCAGTACTGCTGGAGTGGACAGCCCTTTCAGAATAAAAGCCCAGCAGTGACACGTGTGTTTCTCGTGTGTTTTCTCGTGTGGTTCTTGTGTTTCTCGTGTGTTTTTCTTTCTCGTGTGTTTTCTTTCTCGTGTGTTTTCTTTCTTCTCGTGTGTTTTCTTTCTCGTGTGTTTTCTTTTTCGTGTGTTTCTCGTGTGTTTCTTCTTTCTCGTGTGTTTCTCGTGTGTTTTCTCGTGTGTTTCTCGTGTGTTTCCCGTGTGTTTCTTCGTGTGTTTCTTCGTGTGTTTTCTCTCTCGTGTTTTCTTTCTCGTGAGTTTTCTTTCAGGCTTTTGTGCAGAACAGCCGAGTTGAAGACGATGTGGAGTCACTGCAGGAGGCCAGTGCTGTTTATGACTCTTACATAACACACACACACACACACACATTCCACTGTTGTTTTCAACTCAACTTTTATTCATGAGCCGAGACTCGAGACGCTCCACACTGAGAGAGAGTGTGTGTGTGTGTTATATTCACTTTCACAGTGTGTTTTGTGTGTTTGTGTGGCTGTGTAGTTGTGTGGTTTGTGTGGTTTGTCTGTTTGTGTGTTGTGTGTGTGTGTTGTGTTGTGTGTGTGTCTTTGTGTGTTGTGTGTGTTGTTGTGTGTGTGTGTTTGTCTTTGTTGTGTGTTTGTGTTTCTGTGGTTGTGTGTTTGTGTTTGTGTGTCTGTTTGTGTGGTTTGTCTGTTTGTGTGGTTGTGTGTTTGTGTGGTTGTGTGTTTGTGTGTTTCTGTGGTTGTGTGTTTGTGTGGTTGTGTGTTTGTGTGGTTTGTCTGTTTGTGTGTTTGTGTGACGACACTCACCCTAAACAGGGGTTCTGTAAAACTCCCATGATCCTCTGTATTCGGTCCATGGCCACGCTCTCCTGGAACGTGCTGAGTCCTGAACAAGAGGGACACACGTGAGCGGGTGACGCACACACACACAAACAGGTGACACACACACACACACACAGGAGCGGGTGACACACACTGCAGACTGTAGGTCACTTAAGGACTGAGGAGTTGTTATATGTTCACATTTTTACGATGCCTCTGCTCGTCGTAAACAGCAGAGTTTATGACGCATTTACAGTCTCACAACTCAGATACACACAGATACACACACAGATACACACAGATACACACACAGAAACACACATACACACACACACAAACACACACAGAAACACAGATACACACACAGAAACACAGACAGACACACAGATAACACACAGACACACCTCACACAGATAAATACACAGTCACACACATAGACACACACACACACACATCTCACACACAGAAACACAGATTCACACACAGAAACACAGATACACACACAGAAACACAGACACACACACACAAACTCACACAGACACACACACAGACACACCTCACACAGATAAATACACAGTCACACACATAGACACACACACACATCTCACACACAGATACACACTCAGACAGACAACACACACACAAAGACACACACTCATCTCACACGCAGATACACACACAGATACACACACAGACATACACAGACACATACACACACACACACAAAGACACACACTCATCTCACACACAGACACACAACTAGCCTTGATTTACTCCTGGTTTTGTTTCTGTTTGACTTTTATTTTGACAGTTTCATTCATAAATTAACAAGTCTTGTTTTTTTTGTTTTTTTTTTTATTATTATTTCAAAAATTATATTAAATTTTCACTATAATAAAAATAATCCGTGCAGTTTTTAAAAAACATGTCACATTTTGTGTAATTTTCCAAAATCATGAAGCTCTGAATACAGCAGAATGTTATTTTAATTTAATCTGTTTAATCTGTTTTTTGTTTGTGTTTTGTTTTTTTTTCACTGGAGCAGAAATGAAAGCGTCAGACTCACTCTCTCTGTATCGTCCCGATCGGAGTCCGTTCAGGATCAGGGACAGAGGCTGGATGTAACACTGCAGCTCCGAGCACTGGAACAAAACAAACACAAAACACACAAAATGAAATAAAATAAACGAAATAAAATAAAATAAAATAAACAAAATAAAATAAATGCTTCAGAACGACACAGGAACTTTAATGAGGAAACAACAGCTGGAAATACAGAAAAGCAGAGAGAGAAAGAACAGAGAGAGAGAGAGAGAGAAGGGGGAGGAGAGAGAGAAAGAAAAGAGAAATAAACAGAGAGAGACAGAGTGATAGAAAAAAGTGAAAGAGAGAGACAGAGAGAGAAAGACTGAAGAGAGAGAGAAAAAGCAGACAGAACAGAGAGAGAGAGACACAGAGAGACATAGAGAGCAACTGAGAGAGAGAAAAAGCGAAAAGAAGAAGAGAGAGAGAGCGCGATAGATTGAGCGAAAAAGAAAAAGACACAGAGAGAGACAGAGAGAGCCTGAGAGAGTGAGAGGAAAAAGAGAAAGAGTGAGACAGAACAGAGAGAGAGTGCGACAGAGAGAAAAAAGAGAAGAAGAGAGAGAAACTGAGAGAGACACAGAGAGAGAGAGACTGAGAAAAAGAGACAGAAGAGAGAGAGAGATAGACTGAGAGAAAAAGACACAGAGAGAGAAATAAACAGAGAGAGAGAAGAGGAGAGAGCAGGGGAGGGAGAGAGAGAAAGAGCGAGACAGATAGAAAAGAGAAATAAACAGACAGAGAGAGACAGATTGAGTGAAAAAAGTGAAAGAGAGAGACAGAAGAGAGACAGAGAGAGAGAAAAATAGAAAGAGAGACAAAAGACAGAGAGAGAGACAGAGAGAGACAGAGAGAGACAAAGAGACAGAGAGAGCGACACAGAGATAGAAAAGAGAAATAAACAGACAGAGAGAGACAGAGAGTGAAAAAAGTGAAAAAGAGAGACAGAGAAAAGACAGAAGAGAGAGAGAGAGAAAGACGCAGAGAGAAAAAAAGAGACAGAAGAGAGAGCAACTGAGAGAAAGAGAGAGACAAGAAAGACAGACACAGACAGGGAGACTGAGAGAGACAGAAGAGAGAGAGAGACAGGGAGAAAAAGAGATACAGAAGAGAGACAGAAGAGAGAGAAAGAGACTGAGAGAAAAAGAGAAAGACAGAAGAGAGAGAGACAGACAGCGAAAAAAGAGACAGAAGAGAGAGAGAGAGACAGAGATAGAAAAGAGAAATAGACAGAGAGAGTGAAAAAAGTGAAAAAGAGACAGAAGAGAGAGACTGAGAGAGAGCAACTGAGAGATAGAGAAAAAGAGAGAGAGAGAGAAGAAAAGAGAACGGGAGATACAGAGAGACAGACAAAAGAGAGAGGGAGACAGAGACTGACAGAAAGAGAAAAAGAGAAAGAGCGAGACAGACACAAAAGAAAGAGACAGAGATGGAAAAAGAGAAAAACAGAGCGAGAGACACAGAGAGAAAGAGAGACAGACAAAGAAAAGACGGAGAGGGAGGCTGAGAGAGAAAAAGAGAAAGACAGAGAGGGCCTGGGAAAGAGAGAAAGAGACAGAGAGAGAGGGAGAGAAAAAGAGAAAGAGAGAGGGAGGTCCATGTAAGATACAGAGAAAGAAACTGAGAAAAAAGAGCGAGAGAGAGACAGAGAGAGATAGAACAAGACAGAGAAAGAGAGAGAGAGAAAGAGAGAGAGATTGAAAGAGAGACAGAGAGAAAAAGAGAGAGTGAGAGGAGGAGGAGACTCTGCTTGTGTCCACACTTTTTCTCCCTCAGCGACACACGAACACGGTCGGAAAATGAGATAACTGGAATAATCCGATAACCCAGCGTGTTTCTGTGCTGTGTTTACAACAAAACCCAAATCCAATATTACACAAAAATGTCCCAGTGAGCTTTAAATCTTGTTAAAATGTCATTCCCTCCTCAAAAATTTGTGTTTTGTTTCATTCACGTCTGAGTAATTCTTTATTATTCGTCTGCTCACATTCTGCCGCAATTCCGGGTTTGAAATGATCCACGTGATTCTAGTGAAGGCGTGTGGAGTTTAAAAACACAGTGGAGCGCTCCCCGTATCACCACACGATGACATCACAAGGTGCGACAGAGTGTTTTCTGTTTTCCGAGAAGCCGAAAAATGCAGGATTTGTGTCGGAAAATGGCGTAATACGGGACGTTTGAGTATTTAAAAGACAAATTTTGGATTTTGACAGGATTCCGTGTCAAATCCTGCGCAGCTTAAGTGTCTTGCCCAAGGACACGACAGCAGCATTTATCTGTGTGTGAGCCTAACCAAAAAATGTACACGGAGAGCGGGAATCGAACCACAAACCTTCACAAACTCTACAGACTGAGGCACTGTTTTCACTGTTTACATGAGATTTCTGTAATCTGATCTCTCCAGAAATCAGATTATGATCAGATCTCGGTGTAGAGAGAGACAACTGTACTGTAACAGATAATACTCCCTACAACTGTACTGTAACAGATAATACTCCCTACAACTGTACTGTAACAGATAATACTCCCTACAACTGTACTGTAACAGATAATACTCCCTACAACTGTACTGTAACAGATAATACTCCCTACAACTGTACTGTAACAGATAATACTCCCTACAACTGTACAACAACTCACCCTTATGTAACAGATAATACTCCCTACAACTGTACAATGTAACAGATAATACTCCCTACAACTGTACAACAACTACATTTATGTAACAGATAATACTCCCTACAACTGTACAATGTAACAGATAATACTCCCTACAACTGTACAACATGTAACAGATAATACTCCCTACAACTGTACAGTGTAACAGATAATACTCCCTACAACTGTACAATGTAACAGATAATACTCCCTACAACTGTACAATGTAACAGATAATACTCCCTACAACTGTACATGTAACAGATAATACTCCCTACAACTGTAACTGTAACAGTAACAGATAATACTCCTACAACTGTACAGTAACAATAATACTCCCTACAACTGTACAGTGTAACAGATAATACTCCCTACAACTGTAATGTAACAGATAATACTCCTACAACTGTACAACTGTACTCCCAAACTGTACATGTAACAGATAATACTCCCTACAACTGTACAATGTAACAGATAATACTCCCTACAACTGTACATGTAACAGATAATACTCCCTACAACTGTACAGTGTAACAGATAATACTCCCTACAACTGTACAACGTAACAGATAATACTCCCTACAAGTGTACAGTGTAACAGATAATACTCCCTACAACTGTACAGTGTAACAGATAATACTCCCTACAACTGTACAGTGTAACAGATAATACTCCCTACAAGTGTACAGTGTAACAGATAATACTCCCTACAACTGTACAGTGTAACAGATAATACTCCCTACACGCGCTGCAGTCCTCACCTTCTGGCTGAAGCTCTGTGTGGTCTGTGACGTGCTCGGGGGCAGGTGGTGCGTCTGGCCGCTGTGTTGCCTCTTCAGGGTTTTGTGGGCGGCGCCGGGCGATGCCAGTCCCCCCGGCGAGGAGGCGGCGGCGGCGGCGGTGGTGATGGTCGTGGTGGTGGTGGCGCCCGCCTGCCCTCTCCTGCCCCGCTCCTCTTCCTCGCCGCCCTCCTCTTCCTCCTCATGCTCAGACTCCAGCCAGTCTATGGAGCTCTCCGAGTCTGTGGACATCCTCAGCTACTGCTCTGGGCCAATGACCATCACTGATCTGTGGAGGAGAGAGCAGTTTTCTTACTTAAAGCCGCACTGTGGAACTTTTCTGGTCCAGAGTCAAAACGTCAAACGCTTTTCTCTACGCACGGAGATGTTACTGCTTCGTCTGGAATGTTTCACAATCCTGTAACTTGGTCTCGGTCTTGGTTTGGTCTCCGTGAAGATCGAAACGGTTTAACGCCGACCTTTCTGTCGTCACGGAGACCAAACCAGACCAGGTTACGGGTCAGATCTGTGGAGAGGCGAATAGATTTTTTGAATTATATTGTAACGAATCGAAAGCTCACTGCATCAAGACCCATATTGAATCGTGGCCTACGTATCGAGGTATGAATCGTATCGGGAACTTGTTAATGATATGCAGCCCTAATATCAAATGAACCGATATTTCGATACCGATATCTGATCTACAGAGAAATAAACGATAAACAATAATATTTACACTAGTTTATCCCACTGAGACAAAAACAATAAAGCTTTAAATATGCAGTTTCATTAAAAGATGCACTGTGTAACTTTCCAGGAGGAGGGTCCGTTACCATGGAGATGTTGTTTTGCCTGGAATTTCTCACAGTATGAGATTAAATGTATTATTTCCATGGAAACCAAGCCAACTTGAAGGTTGTGGAGAGGCGAGCCCATTTACAGTAGAAGCAGAAGTTGTTTTATTATTAAAAACAAACAAAAATACTCCCTACAACTGTACAACATCTCACCCTTATGTAACAGATAATACTCCCTACAACTGTACAACATCTCACCCTTATGTAACAGATAATACTCCCTACAACTGTACAACACTCACCCTTATGTAACAGATAATACTCCCTACAACTGTACAACTCACCCTTATGTAACAGATAATACTCCCTACAACTGTACAACAACTCACCCTTATGCAACAGATAATACTCCCTACAACTGTACAATATAACAGATAATACTCCCTACAACTGTACAACATCTCACCCTTATAACAGATAATACTCCCTACAACTGTACAACATCTCACCCTTATGTAACAGATAATACTCCCTACAACTGTACAACTCACCCTTATGTAACAGATAATACTCCCTACAACTGGACAACAACTCGCCCTTATGCAACAGATAATACTCCCTACAACTGTACAATATAACAGATAATACTCCCTACAACTGTACAATATAACAGATAATACTCCCTACAACTGTACAACAACTCACCCTTATGCAACAGATAATACTCCCTACAACTGTACAATATAACAGATAATACTCCCTACAACTGTACAAAAACTCACCCTTATGTAACAGATAATACTCCCTACAACTGTACAACAACGCTCTGTAGCTCTGTAACAAAATAATTTAGCAAAATAAACCAAAAAATACTCTTGGCGATATATCGTATCGTTTAATGCAATGATACAGTATTGATATCGTGGGCTGCTGTATCGATGTATCAATATTTCAATGTCATTTCTCTCCAGCAACTAGATCAGGAATCAGAAAACACAAGACGATTTGCAAGAACCGCAGAAGTTGTGGAGCGCACACCGGCCAATCAGCTGTGAGCTGTGAAGTCATGACGTCAAACTGTTGGCGTCTGTGTCCCTTTTGTGGAACAGCACAACAGTAAACAAAGCGTCCAGATGGATGAAGATGATACGAACTTTGCATTTTTTATTGCTACTTTAATCCGAAAGTTCATCTCGCAGAAATGACAATGATCGTTGACAGGCATGTTCACTCTCTGCTTTGTTCATTGTTTTGCCAATTACTTGGAGCATTACATACGTCACGACCAAATAGCAGCGATTGGTTAAATTAAAAAAAGCACCCGCCTACCGACAAGTGAACGAATCCTAATGCTGCGAGGTCAGACAGTTTCCACAAAATGAAACCGGCTCATGAATCAGGTTTGGTAGAATCGACGGCAAAGGAGAAATTCAATTTGTCAACTGGACAAACGTTTAGTTCAGTTCAGGACTGAAGAAACAAGATGAGCTGCAAAAGTTTTTGACCTAAATAAACATTTGTCCAGTTGACAAATTGAATTTCTCCTTTGACATTTAGTAAAGTACAGACGCCTAAAATTTGTACTTATGTATTGTACTTTTACTTTTGTGCTTTACCTTCCACGACTGTTTAAACTAGGGATGGGCATGATTACTCGATTAATCGATAATTGATCATTAAGAATTTCATCGATTACGTTAATTTTAATCGACAAACTGAATGTAGGTTGTTGTGTGTTGTGACCAAACAGGTGTGTACATGTGTCTCTGCATCAGAAGGAGCGAGACACAAACAGTGGGTCAGTCTGTAACGAACCGAAGCACAAATGTGGATTTAACGATGATTTGTACAAGAAATTCCACACTTTCCGTTGCGTTGGGACAAGTGTGAGTCCATGTGCACAGTGGATAAAGCAGCACATATGTTTCTGTGTCCAGTGGGAAAAAGTTTTTCCAGGTGAGAGTCGCTCAATGTGGATGACGAGGCCCCGCCCCCCTCCCCCCGTACGCTGTCCTGGTTTTGACAAACACAAATCTGGTCACACTGACCTGTATTCACCTGAGTCATGTCTTTTCTTTTAATCCGACAGAAATTGAACCACATCAGCGACACAAGAGCTGGAGTTTTATCTTCACTTAGTTTATGCAAATTAGTGATGTGGTTTTAAGTTTTGTTTCTGTGAGATTTGAACAAAACTGAATTAAACACATTATAATGTCAAACAGCTGATGTGGCTCTAGAGTCGTTACGGTTTATATGTCGTAAAGTTGAATTGATTTATGCAGATTAGAGCAGATAGTAATAATAATGATGATCATTTTAATATAAAAACGTTAATGATTAATCGATAATCGATCGTTAATTCTTATGACGATCGATTAAGAAAATTTCATCGAAAGCCCATCCCTAGTTTAAACTCCACACACCTTCACTAGAAACATCTGGATGATTTGAGTCCTGGAACTGAAACATGTCGACTGAACTGAAGGTAAAAGGAGCCGTTTACATGAAAACTAAAACTTATTGACATCACAACAGAGAACAGAGCGTTTTGAGACACACTCATAATAAAGAGCTACTCAAACACAAACACAACTCCAGATCTGTTTTGGAGGAAGTAACAACATTAGAACATGAATTAAAGCTGCAAGACAAGGTTCCCACCCTTTTTCACTGACAAAATTCCAAAACTTTTCCATGACTTTTCCATGACATAAAGTGAATTTTCCATGACTTTACGACTCCTATGTGAACTCTTTCCACTCAACATTCAAAACTGAATCAGAACTAAACCAGGACTAAACCAGAACTAACACTGGTCTAAACCAGGACTAAAACAGGACTGAGTGTCGGGACGGGCCCAGAGTTGTGCCCGTGTAGACTGTTGAGTGATCAGGACTGAGACCGAGACCAGGACCAGGACTAAGACAAGAACTGAGACTAAAACTGAGCCTGGGACCAGGACCAGGACTGAGACTGGGACCAGACCGGGACAAGAGCAGGACTTATACTGGTTTAGTCATGGTTCAGTCCTGGTTTAGACCTGGTTAAACCTGTCTTAGTTCTGCTGGTTTTGGTCTGATTTTAAACCTGGTTTGGTCCTGGTTTAGTCCTGCTGGTTTAGTTCTGATTTTAGACCTGGTTTAGACCTGGTTTAGTCCTGGTTTAGTCCTGGTTTAGTCCTGGTTTAGTCCTGGTTTAGACCTGGTTTAGACCTGGTTTAGTCCTGGTTTAGACCTGGTTTAGACCCGGTTTAGACCTGGTTTAGTCCTGGTTTAGTCCTGGTTTAGTCCTGGTTTAGACCTGGTTTAGACCCGGTTTAGACCTGGTTTAGTTCTGATTTTAGACCTGGTTTATTCCAGGTTTAGACCCAGTTTAGACCTGGTTTAGTTTTGATTTTAGAACTGATTTAGTCCTGGTTTAGTTTTGATTTTAGTCCTGGTTTATTCCTGCTGGTTTAGTTCTCACTTTAGTCCTGGTTTAGTCCTGGTTTAGTCCTGGTTTAGTCCTGGTTTAGTCCTGGTTTAGTCCTGGTTTAGTCCTGGTTTTTGACCTGGTTTTTGACCTGGTTTAGTCTTGCTGGTTTAGTTCTGATTTTAGTCCTGGTTTAGACCTGGTTTAGACCTGGTTCAGTTTTTAGACCTGGTTTTAGACCTGGTTTTAGTCCTGGCTTTAGAGCTGGTTTTAGACCTGGTTCAGTCCTGGTTCAGTCCTGGTTCAGACCTGGTTCAGACCTGGTTCAGTCCTGGTTTAGACCTGGTCCTGGTTTAGACCTGGTTTTAGACCTGGTTAAGCGGCAGGAACAAATCAAAATCTAACAAAATTAATCAGCAAACAAAAGCCTTAAAACCAGTTTAATCTTGAGACTTTTTCGGTTTAAACTGTTTTCTCATCGTGCCCCAAACCCGCCGCCTGTGCCCCTTTGCCCCTGCGCCCCCTTTTGCTTTCTGCCCCTTTTGCTTTCTGCCCCTTTGCCCTCCCGCTCCACCCGCGGGCGTCCAGCTGCTGCCTCGGCCCTTCATTCATAAACATCGAGAGCCTGTTTGTTCCGAGGGCCCCCGGGGTCTGCCGCCATGACAACCACCGGATCAGACCGCCAGCTCCCGTCGACCGGAGGCACAACAACCACCCGGAGCCGCCGACGGGACCAGGACCACGACCAGGACCACGACCAGGACCATGACCAGGACCCCGACCAGCAGCTCCAGGACACCACCAAGGTCAGAAGAAGAAGAAGAAGTCCAAAAACCTCGAAGAAACACTGAAAATCCTTTGACACGACCCCGTTTTCTGTGTCCTAATGTCGTTCCCTCGTCCCAAAACAGACCTGGACTTGTGTTTTGTCTCATTCACACATGTTTTACTCACAAACCCAACGTATTTAGACTACGTTCCTCTCTCTAACCTCAAAAAACCTTCACTGGAATCACTCGGAATCGCCAATTTCTCCTGAACAAAAGGTAAAAAAAAAAAAAAAAAAAAAAAAAAAAGAAAAGAGCGGATCATTTTGAGCTTTGGAGATGTACACAGACTAATAATAAAGGATTACCCCAACACGTGAGTGAAACAAAACAACTCCAGGTTCGGTTTTTGAAGAAGTGGCAACGTTTTGACACGACTTGAAGCTCATTTAAGGTCAATTTTGTGTAATTTTGGAGCTTTCTCTGTTGTCTAAACGCTGAATTTCCAATATTTACACGCAAAACACGAGTTGTTTTTGCGTTGTTGTAGCTCTACTCTAGGTTTTTACGCTTCCATGAGACATAATTGAGTAAAATGGAGGGTAATAAAACTAAATATTCACGATTATAACAGATTAGCTCAGTGATTTGGTTTGTTTTTGACACTAAACAGCGGACTTTCCCCTGTGCGCACCGCTCTCCGCTCCAACACCTGCCCTGACCACACAACATACACCACACACACTAATCCCGAACTCAAACCACGAATTTACACTTATCAGGTTTATATTTGTGGTTAATTACGCTCAAATAAACTCACAAATACAAAAAAGGCCTTCGCTTCTGTGTCCAAAAAGATCAAATCGAGACTTACAGCGTGAAATCTCCGTAAATGCGGCTGTCCTAGATCAAGATCAGAGCCCAAACTCCATCACGAAACATTTATTTATTTGTTAAAAGATTCTAAAATGTGAGATTCAAGCGCCGTGGGGCCGTGGGGCCGTGGAGCCGTGGGACGCAGACACAATAGACTTCCTCATGCGCCTTCGTTTTTCTTTGGACACGGAGCCTGAACGTTACGCGTAAAATCCAAAACTGTGACCGTGGGAGGAAGAAGAGAGGAAAACAGAAGAAGAGTCACGGCCCCGGGAGTGGGAGTGTGGCCCCGTTACTCTGCCCTGAACACGCCGCGGTCCTGCCCGTTTCCCCGGGGGGAGGCTCGCCGGCTCCTCGGGCTGCGTTCTGTGGATCTAAATATAAAGATGAGCGGAATAACGTGACGCGGCTCACGCAGGTCCGGGGGGGACACGAGCGCGTACCTCGGTCTGTCTGGAGCGTGGGGTCCCTGTGTGATCCTTTGTCGGGGTAAATCCAGAGCCGTGGGAGCCGTGCGGGAGCCGTGCGGGAGCCGTGGACGTACCGGAGCGCGGAGAGCTGCGCGTCGCGTCGCTGTGACCGGAGCCTGTGATCGGCCCGTGCGCGTGCAGCTCCTCCAAACGCAACGTGTCTGCGTGGGCGGGGCTCCACGAGACCCACGACGCCATTGGCCCGTCACTCGGCACGCGCAGGCCAGTGAGCGCTCGCGCCCGGGGCCCCGCGGAGCGATAGGCGCAGCGCGGTTCACGTCACGCATCCCATTTGCATACGTAATAACGCGAATAAGCATGGAAATACTCAAACACGTGGACACGGGGATCGGTTTCAGCAGCAACAGCTGGACTCAAAGTCAACACGAGCTGCTTTTGGTGCGCGCGCCCTCCGCATTATATCATCTGGAGGGTGATGGTATGCGCGCGCGCGCGGCTCCGGAGAGAGACACTCAGCACATTCTGGACATGAGTGTGCGGAGCATGTGTCCAGCCCCCGGTCCGTGCTCCGGAGGGGACACGAGCGCGTTTTAAAGCACCCCACTTCAACATTTACTCACATGGAGCCAAAAACTCGCAGCTCCGGTTTGACCTAAACCCAGGGTCGTCCTTATTTCCCCGGGACAGCCCCAGTTTTGAGCCTTTACGTCCAGTTTTAAACACGAAATGTCGCTTGTGTTTATTATTTCTGACCTTCCAACGGTAAAGCGACGCGTACAATGTCATTTTTTTTAAGTTAAACCACATAAAAGCTGCGTAAAAACCTCCAAAACACGAAGAAAATGTGACCAAACTGACTCACATGTTGGTTTTAAATCGTCTCTGCGTCACGGTTTTCCTTCGTTACGCGCTCGTGTCACAGTTTTATTTTAAACCGGGGATGTCCCAGTTTATTTATTTATTTTCAAACTCGGGTCACTGTTCCTAAAAACAGCTTTAAATGTGCTCGGTCAAACAGGGACTCCGTGTTCCTTTGTCCTCGGATGATTCACGCGGAGGAACCGGGCTGAAGATCTTTATGTCCGGCGCGCGCGCACAGGATCTTTACAGTAACATGTGCGGTGTTTTACGGTGATGGTAAAGGCATGAGTCACGTCTGCCCGTCCGCGGAGGGTGGGGTCAGCGCGCCTCCAGCCGCTCTGACTCACCGCTCTCCGGCAAACGTGATCGTGTTTGGGATCCACCCACCGGAGCTGCTCTCGACGCGCACTTATGAAACTCTGATTAGCGGCATCCCAGTGCGTCAAACACCACGTTGCCTCGCCTGCACGCGCCCGGACACAGCGCACAGGGGGGTGGGGTGGGGGGGGTGGGGGCTCGGGTCAGTAACTCGAGTCCAAAGTAATATTATTGGCCCTGACAGTATAAAGGGGAGATGTGACTGTATTCAGTTACAGTTACTGTTTCAGTGAGTGGGAATTGGATTACAGTTACTTTGTTGAAATAAATGGATTATACAGAGGAATTTTACTGTTTTCACATTTTGGGCTAAAACAGGACTAAAACCAGGTCTAAACTAGATCTAAACCAGGTGTAAACCACGTCTAAAACCAGGTCTAAAAAACATCTAAAACCAGGACTAAAACAGGACTAAACCAGGACTAAAACAGGTCTAAACCAGGACTAAAACCAGGTATAAACTAGATCTAAACCTGGACTAAACTACATCTAAACCAGGTCTAAACCACGTCTAAAACCAGGACTAAAACAGGACAAAACCAGGACTAAAACAGGACAAAACCAGGACTAAAACAGGATCTAAACCAGGACTAAAACCAGGTCTAAACTAGATCTAAACCAGGACTAAACCAGGTCTAAAACAGGTCTAAACCAGATCTAAACCAGGACTAAATCATACTGTGTGGACGTGTCTCTTCTTCTATCAATAATATTTTTAATTTGGTTCAGTAAAGTCTGGACTTTTTATTTTCTTTTATCAGATAAAACATCTTATGTGAAGATTTCCTCGTCTTTGCTTCTCTACAGAAAATCAAGTAATCCAAAGTATTCAGATTATATTACTCATGTTAAGTAATTTAATGGATTACATTACAAACTACATTCTGGTGTATGTAATCTGTAATCTGTAGGGGATTACATTTTAAAAGTCACCTTCCCAACACTGTATAAGGCTGTTCCCATAGTAATTAACAATTTAAAAACAAATGTCACTTATTTCAGGACATCAAAACCAACAAATGTCCTAATATTGGAGTTTTCAGGCAACAACAACAAATAAGACTTTACAGATTTCTTTCTTTCTTTCTTTTTTTTTTTAAACTAGTCTTAAAGGGACACTAAAAAATAAAATCACATTCTCTGTGTAAATGGGTCTAAAATAAACATGAATATTCACAAATTCAAATGAACTGTTAATAATGAATTGTGTGTACAGTGAGTGTGTTGGTGTGGTCACTTTGTGTGATTGTTGCTGTACTTTTCTGTCCTGTAGATGATTTCACATCAACCTGAGGCCGAGGGACTGAAGATTTTGGAAATGAGACGCGCTGCTATAATCTTTATATATTTACATTTTAAATGTTCATTAATATGTGCTGTTCCTTTACAAATAAATACGTAAGACATAAAAAAACTTGTAGCCTGATTCATGAGCTGGTTTCACTTTGTGGAAACCGTCTGACCTCCAAATCCTGTAGGAAGAAGAACAATAACGTCTTTCCCCTCGATAAAATTCACCAAACATTCTCTTTGTTCCGGCTTTAAATCCTCGATCTCGGGAATCGTTGCCAACACAGAATGTCTGGTTCTTTGCTGATTGGCTGTTTTTCAGACTTGCACTTCCGGGGTTTTTGTGAACCGTCTAGTGCAGGGGTGTCCAATTCATTTTGGTCCGGGGGCCGTATCCAACCGACTTTGATCCCAAAGGGGCCGGATCAGAAAACTCATGTCATATAAACCCCAAAAATAACAATAAATTCAAATATTAGTGCAGAGAAACGCAAATCTATTACAGAAATCTTTTTTTAATTGATGAACTCTTTCTTATTATAATATTATAATATTATGAACAACCTGAAACTTGTATTCAAATAGGAATAAGTCAATTCTTCTTGGAAAATCCTGCACTCGGCTCCACTTTTCTCATGTTGGACATTTTTCTGATGAGGGTGTCACGGTCAACAGTCAAAACGATCGTCCTTTAAGAGCGTTTGGAAAGAGACAAGTCTTCATTTGTGCTGCTCTGGTGGGAGGGGCCACGTACAGAGACGCTGGAGACGCTGCTGTGATAAACACCACAGAAAATTAACAAGATTTTAATAGAAAATATGATTAAAATATTTTAGTAGAAAATCACCCAAGGGCCACATTAAAGGTCTTGGAGGGCCGGATCTGGCCCCCGGGCCTTATGTTTGACACCTGTGGTCTAGTGTATTCTGCTTCCTGATCTAGTCGCCGGAGAGAAATTAAATTGAACAGAGGCACTAGGTGACACCAGCCTGACTAAGAAATTACAGCCAGTACATTGGAATGTTCAAGTTGGATGGTCGGTCGCCAGTGGTTATGGTGCGTTTGATTATTCATTCCTCTCGCACTCGGATCTGGGATATGACTCACGTCCACATTTCAAGTGCTTTATTATGTTTTGCACATACGCCGTATATAGTACATGGATGGACAGAGTAACGCACGAACCTCCCTGTTCTGGTTTCACGTGTCCAACTTGGAGAAAAACATGGACACCATCCGGAAAACTGTTATTGTTGTTGTTTATCTTCTGCTAATGACTCCAGGAACGTTTAGGAACCTGTTTAAAACAAGTCTGTGTTCAATAATCCCACTTCCTCTGGCACTTTACACAAAACAACTTCAAACTGAATCAAGTGTTTGTTTTTTTCATAACATTTACAGTCACATTCTCTTTCTGGTTTTGCAGTGATATTGAGCCTCTGCACATTTACCGACCGTAGTGAAATATGATCATCGAGTGTCAGACCTCCAGTCCAAGACCAAGACCAAGACCAAGTCCCTTCAAGACCGAGACAAGACCAAGACCAAAAATCATCGAGACCAAGACAAGACAAGACCAAAGACCAAGACCAAGACCAAGACTGAGACAAGACCAAGACCAAGACTGAGACAAGACCAAGACCAAGACTGAGACAAGACCAAGACCAATCGCCATCTAGACCGAGACAAGACAAAGACAAGACCAAGTCCAAACATCATCGAGACCGAGACAAGACCGAGACCAAGCACCTTTAAGACCGAGACAAAACCAAGACCAAGCTCCTTTAAGACCGAGAGACCACAACTGAACAAGACCGAGACAAGACCGAGACCAAGCTCCTTCAAGACCAAAACACAGACCGAGACCGAGACCGAGACAAGACCGAGACCAAGCACCTTTAAGACCAAGACAAGACCGAGACCAAGCTCCTTTAAGACCGAGTCAAGACCGAGACCAAGCACCTTTAAGACCAAGACACAGACCGAAACAAGACCGAGACAAGACCGAGACCAAGCTCCTTTAAGACCGAGACAAGACCGAGACCAAGCTCCTTCAAGACCAAGACACAGACCGAGACAAGACCAAGACAAGACCAAGTCCAAAAATCATCGAGACCAAGACAAGACCGAGACCAAGATCTTTAAGACCAAGACAAGACCGAGACCAAGCTCCTTCAAGACCAAGACACAGACCGAGACAAGACCGAGATCAAGCTCCTTTAAGACCGAGACAAGACCGAGACCAAGCACCTTTAAGACCAAGACAAGACCGAGACCAAGCTCCTTTAAGACCGAGTCAAGACCGAGACCAAGCTCCTTCAAGACCAAGACACAGACCGAGACAGACCAAGACAAGACCAAGTCCAAAAATCATCGAGACCAAGACAAGACTGAGACCAAGATCTTTAAGACCAAGACAAGACCGAGACCAAGCTCCTTCAAGACCAAGACACAGACCGAGAC